CCGTTTGCCTATATCTTACGCCCTTAAAAATCCTCAAGAATCCTATGTGTGTTTCATTTGTAGGACTTTTTAAGGGTATATTCTTCGTTTTCGATAAGGTCGGATTTATATATGCTTCATTCATTTATTCACCTTTAATCATAAACCGACGCTTAAAAAAAAGTCCCTTTAAAAAAAAAACACTTTGTCATCTCTACGTGTTGTATTCAGTGGAGATTTGAACGTATAACTACTAAAGAATGAATGAATATTCTATATTTTTTAATAACTCGAACATTTATTTCGTTAATATACCCAAAATGACCATTAAAAAATAAACTTGGTCAGTTTGACCAATGGAGATGGAGGTAAAATATTTTGAGTAAATTTGGTACGGTAAAAAATAAAAAATAAAAAATAACCTTTGCTCCAAATTATTAAATATTTACAAAAAAAAAAAAAACTGATTTGCAAAATAAAATTCCTTCTTAAATTTTTTTTAATTTTTTATTATTATTAATTTTCATTTTCATTTTTGTGTGTGTGAGAGAGAGAGAATGCGGGCCACCCCTTATTCACGGGTTCTCCTATTGCCAGATTCTGCCACCTAAGCTTTCCTTTTTTTTTCTTGCTTTTAAGCCCATATTTTAACTCTATTTATTTTCGAGACAATTTTTGTTATATTTATTTTACATTCAGTCCTCTAAGTTTGTGTAATTAATAATGTAGCCCATATTAATTAACTTTAGTATTATTATTATTATTACTATTTTGTAAAAAATAACAGCACTAACAAATATAGTTTTAATTTTATGCCATAATTATTAATTAAGTAAATCAACAATTCATTTAGATAATTAACTATAATCCCAATATTAGTTAACCTAGATATTGATTCTATAATTAAATACTACTAATTGTTTTTTTAAATTTTTATTTCTTTAATTATATATATTTATTTATTTAACTACTATTAACTATGTACTTATTTGGAAATAATATTACAATTTGAATTAATAAATCATGTTAAAATTAAACTTTTTTTAATAATAATAATAAAAAAATAGCTTGAAATTTAGAAATAATATTACAAACCCAATAATTTATTAATAGATAAAATAAAATAAAATAAAATAAAAATTTTAAGAATCCAATGAAAAAAAAAAAAAGAATGGACATTATCATGACAAACTGCCAAGAGTATAGAGAATTTTATTTTTAAAAAAATTATTTATGGAAGAAAAGATATAAGAGGACAAAAATAAAAAGGCAAAAATAAAAAACATATTAAAAATTAAAAAAAAAAAAAAAAAAAAAAGGTCCAAATGACGATAATGGACATTTTCCTCTCCTAATTTGTGGGATTTATTTATTTTATTTTATTTTATTTTTGTGAATATCTAAATATTAAATAGAAAAATTTGGATAATGTTTGAATTTAAATTAGTGATTTAAAAAATTTATAGGATAGTGGTTGGATAATTATTACTTCTATATTGTATTTAAATATTTTGATGTTGCTACTACACCAACCAACCGAGTTTAATCATTATAGTTTTTTTTAATTAATAATAATTAAAAAAACCGTAATATTTTATAATGTGACAAATTTTGCATTAGTGACGTCATATTTTTTAATAGCTTAATCTTATAAATAATTTTTAAAAATTAAATGATTATTTACTATGTAAATTTACATAAAGGGTCACCAATTTAATCATTATTTTCGATGTGGCCATGTTACCTGTCATTTCTTCCAACTTTATTTCTAGGGTTTGGTGGATTTGAATGTTAGTTGCCACATTTTATTTTATTATTTTTTTTATTATAATTAATTATTTATCATTCTAAAGTAAAAAAATTTACCCGTCTATTTGGAATTTATTTTCTATATGAAATATTAAAATTGTAGTAATCGTGATAGTGATTCGATCAAATAAACAATTTATGTTTTACGAAGTGAATGGTAAATATATTTTTATTTTCTTTAGTTTCATTCTTCTTTGTCGTAAGCTTCCGAGCAATGGGAGGAGATTAGGACTCTGACCGCGTGCCTATTGAAGAACGAGCCGGTGGCTCATAGGCAGTGGCTTGGTTAAAGGAACCCACCGGAGCTGTAGCGAAAGCGAGTCTTCATGGGGCAATTTTTACTGCTTACGGACTTGAACTTGGGTGATCTATCCATGATCAGGATGAAACTTGGGTGAAACTAAGTAGAGGTTCGAATCGACTGATGTTGAAGAATCAATGGATGAGTTGTGGTTAGGGGTGAAATGCCACTCGAACCCAAAGCTAGCTAGTTCTCCCCGAAATGCGTTGAGGCGCAGAAGTTGTAAAGCACCGTTTATTACGTTAGTCTCTAAGATTTTAGGAGAAATGTTTAGATTTTTCGAACATGAATTCAAAATTTTGCGTATTTTACCGTTTCTTTTTCGTATCTTCATAGAGTAAAATCGTCAACTACATTGTGATAATTTGCTTTGTTTTGCACAAAAATGATATAAAAACAATGTGATAAGACTCTGATACTAAATAATAAATAATCACTACAAGAGATGTAAGATTTAGATTATCGAATATCCAAAGGTAAGAACACTTGTTTGAGATTCGAGTCAATTCAAAGTTAAGATTGATTATGTCAAGCTTGAATGATTCTACATGCAACCAAACTAGAAATAAACTGAGTCATTGGCTAAACGAAAGCACAAATGATATTTTTACTTACATTTTTCATGTTTTTTTTATAAAGATAACATACGTGACTTTATATAGTCTCGAAATGAAGACTTTGATGACATGTCATGAGCGGTAACTTTCATACTTTATAGCCATATAAGAATAAATGAAGCTTGATTCTTCTTTAACAACCCGATTTATGGGTTGATTCATGTCAGAACGTCACAGACGACATGATTGAAAGTAAAATGAATGTTTTTTTGTTTTATTGGAGGAATGATGATTTTTATGTATACATTGACTCTGGTTAGTCAACAAAATGTTGAAGCTTTTTGGCTGTCTCATGGCCAACATGAAACAGTGTGACATGTTCTTGGGACAGGTATGGTACCATATCTCTTCCTTCTTTTTTTCTGCCATCCCTCTTACATTTTAACATGTTTCTTAAAGACTTTACATTCCAAAACTATTCATCCCGTAACAATCGTTCGGTATGGTGATTTAGAGATCGGATGCTAGAGTACTAGCAACAATCATTTCTTCGATTTCGTTTGGCTAAATGGCTTTAGAGGATGAGCTTTGAGTTTCTAATTCTCTTCAGCCCAGGCACAACGATGCAATTATCAGGGGCGCGCTCTACCATTGAGCTAATAGCTTGTCGTGCGGGCCTCTCACTAGGGCCCGCTATGTCAATAGCGAGAGAAACTCCATCACTCTCTTTCCTTTTTTTCCTCCCATGTCGCCATACTGGAGGGACATGGGGACGTAAAAAATGGGATCCTATCAACTTGTTCCGACCTACGATAATAAGCTTATGAGCTTAGTCTTACTTCACTGTCGAGAAACGAAAGAAGACTTCCATCTCCAAGTTTAACTCAAACGTAGCTCGCTTCTTTTTTGGTGTGAAGCAGTGTCAAACCACAAAACTCAACAAGCATTAGTTGTCTCTGAAAAGGAGGTGATCCATCCAACCGCACCTTCCAGTACGGCTACCTTGTTACGAGAGTTTTAAAAGAACCGAGATAGAACTCGAACAATTTTGCATAAGTGTAGTTTGGGCTTGAGCCCAAATAACCCAAGCCCACCCAGGCCCATCAGCCAAGACATTCACATTTAGTAGTTAAGCTGCCGAAGTCTGTTTATTTAAGTTTAAATTAAAATTCACCAATAACTGATTTTTCTAAATAACTAAAAATTGTCGGCAGTTATTTTAAAAGTAACTAATTTTTTTACGGTACATATGTTCGAAGTATGTCTGTCTTAGAAACTTAAGATAGAAGAAGAATAAAGGCTTGCGATTCTACGACGGAGACACGGAAGCAAACAATAAGACAACTCTAAAATTTATATTTATTTTTAGTTCGGGATGGGTCAAATCGGCGTTAAGCATACTGAACCCAGACTCAACCTGACCCACTCGATTCCTAGAAAATAAACACAAACTAACTTGGTAACTTATCTAATCTAACCCAACTCTTATAATTCAGGTTGGATCGGTTCGAGTTATCGAGTTGATTGTACACCTCTTTTCCTTGGCCCAGGACTATTAATTCACTCAAAATATAATATTATTTATTTTGAACGAATGAATATAATTTTTATTAAAAATGTAAATTATTCTAACCAATTTAATAATATTTAGTAAGTAAATAATATAATATTCGATATCAATTTTAAAAATTTAAATTTTAATATCGCCGCACATTTAATAAAAATTATTTATTTACAAGTAAATAAAGAAAAAAATTATATATATATATATTAAGTTAACATATAAATACGTGGAGCGGACAGAGACAGTTCTTGTTTAAACGGTTTTTATTCATATTGTTCTTCCCAACGGGACCAAACCCTAGATTCTGGATTGAGAAGTGCAAGAACAGAGAAAAATGGAGGAAAATCCCAATAAACTCGAAATTTACGAGCTCAGGTATTCGGATCTCTTCCTCTTGTCTACACATTGCCATTCTTCATCTTCATTACAAGGTAACGAACGGATTGAATCGATAACCAAATCGATTTTTGAAGCCCTAGGCCCCAGTGGACCTGGCCTTCTCGCAATCACCGGCGTCCCCAACTCTTCTGTTCTTCGTCGAACACTACTGCCTCTCGCTCGCAAGCTCGCATTGCTCAATCCTGATGATCGGAAACGGATTCTTAAGGTTTCACTTCTTCATTTTTCCTCATTCCTCTGCTCTCTCTCTCTCTTGCTCGCTTCCTTTTTTGTAAGCATTTAGTGAATGTTTACGGAAAATGACTGAGGAATTTGATGTTGATGGCGCTCTTTTTTCCCCTAAAATCTCATCATTGTCATTTTGTTGAAATCATGTTGAACGTTGAACAGGGGATCATTGGGAAATGTCTCAATATAATGTCATTGTTGCATTGATTTAAACTTTCTGCATACGTCATGACAATTGGAGATTAAATTTTGTTGAATTCTAGTTGATCTTTTGACATTTCTTTGTTTGATGTTTAACTTCAACGATTTAGCGAATCTGAGTTTTGGGGTACTTTTGGCTGGTTAGGTTTCTCAAAATTAAAATTGTCTCTGAAGCTTGTGGTCAAATCGTTGGAGAGTCTCCTTTTTGTTTGGCTCTCGTGAGATCTTAGCTAAATTTCTTGTTCGCTAAGAACATTTTACCACAACATCCTTGGAAGGAATCGAATTCATATTCAAATGAGACAATCTTCCTAATACCTCCATTTGTTTTCATTCAACTTCTCAGGATCATAACTTAGGGAGTGATGTTCCCTTGAGGAATCCAGAAAGAAGTGTTTCGTCTTTTGCAATGCAACTCAAATATACGGAGAGCAAAGAATTCATGCAGAATAATCAAAGCCAAAGAGGGGACAAACAGTCACCTGGTTCAGAAATTGATCACTTTTGTGATTCTATTGAGAAGGAAGTTCAAGACAATGAATTTAAACATCTTGGTGATTCATTTAAAGAGCTTGGAAGTTGCATGTTGGAACTGGGGCTTCACATTGCACGGATATGTGATGCGCAAATCGGAGGCCAAGAGTTAGAACAGAGCTTGTTAGAGTCATGCACTGCAAAAGGCCGTCTCATACACTACCATTCAGCTCTGGATGCCCAGCTTTTAAGAAAATCAACAAACTGCAAAGGAACTGCAAGAAACCAAGCTAATTCTAGAAGAAATAAAGAACAAAGCATACACAGTAGGCAAGAGCCATCAGACAGTAATGGACTATGTCAATCAATTACAAATCTATGGCAGCAATGGCATTATGACTATGGTATCTTCACAGTCCTAACAACTCCCATGTTTCTTTCACCATCAAATACCCACGGCAACGAAGCACAAGATCTTTGTTGCTATAGCGAGTGTTGTTCCCCCAGTGGACACTTGTATTTGCAGATTTTTGATCCTTGTAAGAACGACATTTTCATGGTTAATGCCCCACCAGAAAGCTTTATCATCCAGGTGGGCGAATCGTCTGATATTATATCACGAGGGAAGCTTCGCTCCACTCTTCACTCTGTGTGCAGACCTTCCAAGCACGAGGATTTGTGCAGAGAAATGTTTGTTGTATTCTTGCAGCCAGCTTGGAACAAAACGTTTTCGATGTCTGATTATTCCATTGAAAGCTCAACGTTGTCCGAGGACAAAAGAGATCTTGTTGAACAGGAGGCAACTGTAATAACTCGAGAAATCCAGAAGATAGTTCCACCATTAGCATCAAGATTGAAGGAAGGGATGACATTTGCTGAGTTCTCACGTGAAACCACCAAGCAATATTACGGGGGAAATGGTTTGCAATCCAACAGATGACCCAGTTACTCAGTTATTTGTAAGTTTTCTCCGCTAAAGATACTTTTTTGTCTAAATCACTAACTAAACATGTTCACCATGAACCTTGGTTGATTGAACAATTTCCTTATTGCATACTCTTGTTTCCAAGTTCTACATTTAACTGTTTAGAGTCATGAATCTAGTATAACATACATAGATTTTTCAACTTTGCATCTAAAAAGTTCAAACATATTCATCTTTTTGTTGGACCTCTCACATTTTCCGTAGTCTTTAAGATATGTACTCCATCACACCTTTTTTCTCTTTAGTTTGACCGCGTTCAAAATCTTAGCATTAAAACTGTTGAGAAAATAAAAAAGTGATCAAATTGATGAAAGTGTTGATTGGAATAACTGTGCTCAGACAAGAAACATCAGAAAGCCATGCATAGGATTAAAAATGAAATGGTCTTTCGATATATCAATCATAAAAAAAGGAGACATGGATTTATGGTCCCAAATTCTCCTGCCCTTTGCTGTGAAATTCTGACCATTTACATATATATGTGTGTGTGTGTAACTTTAGCTCCAAATCACACATTTAAACATGGTGAGATATATTTCTCTGGATCACACAGGGACAGAAACTGCCACGGAAAAACTTTTTGATCATCCTGGTAAAAGGGTGGTGATTGACTAATGCATAGGATGATGCTCTCCTGAACCAAAATGATGGTGGAGGAAAAGAAAGCAATCCTATTTATGACTCTGCTACCCCAAAAATAGTCAACTGAGAGAGAAAGAAGTTGATGTGACATCCAAGTAGATAGCCACAGCAGGTCCAGATGTAATCATCACAAGAGTAAGTGAGGGTATTTTATAAACCTTTAGAAAATTCAAGGTATTTTTGAGGTTTCATCCAAAATTAACTATATATATATATATTTTGAAACTTCGGGTACTTTTGAGACTTTTTTTTTCTTTTTTAAATTCAAGGTATTATTCAATCTTTTGTAAGTTTAGACAAATTGCAAAGTTCAAGGTTCTTTTTAAAAATTAATTCAGCCTAAATTTTATTTTTAAACTTGTCTTAACTTTAACTTTTAATTTTGAATCCTAAACTTGGACAATAGTTGGAATTTTCAATTTTCGCTAATTTTCAAGTTTTTTTTTTTTGTGTGTGTGCTCAGGATTCGCCTAAGAATTTTAACAAACAGGCATATGGAATTACTCTTGGAGGTGTGAGAGACACGAGGCTCTATGGGCCCGAACATGATGATGAACCAAATCCGTAAGTTATTCGGCTTATGTCTCTGAACTTTGACCCATATACAATTGATATCCATGGAATACTAGCTAGTGGAATGAATTCAAAAAGTTAAAAAGAGTCTAAATTCATCAATATAATTTGGTATATGGATATAGTTAAAGCATGCTTTGTTGATCACGCTCACAGTCATGGATTTGGATCATCAAAGCCATGAGATCAGTGAAAATCATTTTGATGGCTCCTTCCATTATGGGAAAATGGTAGGTTTAGAATGCAAGAACATGTGAATGAGCACTAAGAAGATGGCTAAGTATACAGTGGTGGTGTGGTTTCTCACTTTTTCTGTCACTTCAAAACACTTCCTTTTCATAAGCAATTTGCACAATATTCTCTTCCTCTACATCAATTTGCATAAGACTATTTCTTTTAATTATTGGGTCACTTTGCACTACTTGTCACTATTATCTCAAATGAACTTCTTGTCTTATAATTTCCATCCTTGGTGATTATTATTATTCAACATGTATAAGTTCCTATGGAGTGACTAAACTAAATAGGGTTCTTTGTCTATGGATTTACTTTTTGTCTCACCATTTTTGGATGTTCAACGTAGTTTTACATTGGATAGAATGAGTGATTGACGTTAGTTATCCAATAATATGTCATCCATAGTTGAGCTTAATCAAACAAAGTAGTGTGCTTGAAAGAGGAAGATTAAGATGCTCGATATGGTAGAGAAAACACACAAATGCGTGATTATTGAGAGTAGATTCTTTGATGATCTTTTCTCTACTTTGATGATCTTTTCTTGGAGAGGAGGATCCTTGACAACATTATGAGATACTTCAAACGGAATGTAACTTAAATATAGATGTCAATTTAACCTGTCTCGAATGAGGTAGGAAATTTCCATTTAAATGGGGAATAGGAAAAGGAGTAGGAAAAGATTTCTCTCTATTGGCCAAATGGGTTAAGGAATGAGATTATATTTCCCGTCCCCCTATCTTGACCCTCCTAGTCCTTCCATAAAGCAAGTGTGGGGAACCTACTCCTTGTGGGGAATCCGAAAAATAAATAGAAAATTTTGTGTGAATGGACATTGAAATAGGAGGTAGGGATAGAGACGTGTAGGCTTCCTCATCTCTCCCCCGATGCAATGTCATTCTTGATGATATCGTCATCCCATTTTCTCTTATGCCTCTCTACTGCCTTATATATATATATATATATATATATATATAACTGTAACTTCCCACCACCCTTTGAGTGTATGGTTGCAATGCCATCAACCCAACCAAATCAGCAACAATGGCTGAATAGAACCAACCCTCACCCAGAAACACCCAAAACCCTAAATTGTTGAATCCTCTCACAAACATTCCCTCAATGGAAACCTCATTCATGTTGTCCCCCACTTTGTTTGGGTCAACCCAAAAGTCAACCTCAATAATGCAGGAGATTCTAAATATTCCCATGTTTGATCCAGATTTCAAGAAAAAAAAGCGTGTCATGTCTGTTTCAAATCTGGAGAAATGATATCAAAATTATACAACATTATTTCAGGCTTTGCTATTTTGGGTATCAATAATGGGATGATTGTTTATGTGCAGATGTCGAAGTGTGGGTATTAGCGTCAGCTATCAGTTCTAGGGATAGCGTTTCTTTGTTCCTCTTTGCTTTGAAAAAGTGGTCATGATTTTAGTGGGAGATTGTTTTGCTCTACACTATTAAGGTTTATAGATGATCCACATGTAATAGTTGTAGTTGAATAACCATTTCAGTTCATGTCTACTTGGTTTTTGAGATTTTACCATGGATATCTTTACCTCATTTCACCGTGAGATGACCTAATGAATCGGTGATACGGTAGTTAATAAGATGATTATGTGACACAATTTTGCTAATTAGAACGAGCAATTGTCTCATTTCCTTTTTTTTCCCTCCTCCTGAGTAGCTTGTTGTCGTCATCTTATGTATCATCATCTAAATGGAATGAATGCTTGTTTTAGACTTGCGGGTTTCTAACATATCTAGAAACGACCTATTCGTAAATCTAAAAGATCGAATACTTCTTCGTTTCATGTCTAAAGAACAAAATTCACCTAATCAAGACACATAATAAACTGCATAAAATAGTCAATCGAAAGCATAACCTGGTTAGTAGATATGACTTTAGAACACGAAAACAAAACCCCATGTCCATTTCTTAAGGTTAAAGCATTGGAAAACAAGTTGAATTAAGTTAAAATTTTGAAGGAATATTTGAAGTATGTTTTAAGTAAACAAATGGGACGAAAATCCAAAGATCATAAATTGGAATTAACCAAAATCCAACTCACTTGCTTCAGCTTTTTCAAATACAAAATTTTTTAAATCTTCCAACCAAATATTTAAAAATAATAAAATTTATATATATATAAAAGATACCCTTTTCTTTGAAAAATGTATCAAAACAGTCCCACCCACCATAATTAAAACATTAAATTTGTCATTAATTGTTGAAAATTGAACTAATTAGATCTGATTTTTTTTAATTATTCATATAAATTTCCTAATCTTTGAAAGATAATGAAGCATCTTAATCTCTAATCAAAAGCATCTTTCTAAACTTTCTTATATTTTGTGTTTTATTCCTTTCTTTTTTTATTAAATCTATTGTTATTAATTATTTATTGCTTATTTAACCTATATATTCAAACTAGTCTTTTGGTTAGGTAAATAAGGATAATCCACGTTTTTCTTATATTTTAAATAAATTGTCCAAATTTGTTTCGATCAACTGACTCACACTAGCCACATCAAAGTGGTTGCTTGATGTGATTGTGGTGCAGTCGTCGAACACTAAAACAAGCAGTATAAGGGTAATTTAGTCATTTTAATATCTCATGAAAATTTGAGACGACCCTTAATTAACTTGTTTATATCCGAACAATACACAATAAATAGCCTGTAATATACCAAAACTGCGTACCCAAATCAAAATTAATCAAAAATTGAAGGACTAAATTGAAATTAAAAAATAAATAAATAATCTTGAAATTAGCTATTTAAACGCGGGAATAAAGGACGCAAAATTCAACCCATGCACGCTGTCGTTTTGTTTTTTTCCACTGCTTTTTGCGCAACACAAATGACCATTATCTCCTCAATAAGATGCCTTTCACATTTTAACAAGAAGGGTATTATGGTCATTATGGTACAAAACTCCAAAATAGCCCTTTGTCTTTCTCTGTCTTTTTTAGGGTTATATTTATAAATAATCTTTATTGCCCGTGACATTCTTACAAGTACAGAACACCAGAATTTCTCTCTCTTTTTATTTTTTTTAATTTATTTCCCACATGAACAGTTGACTTAGCAGAGAATTAGGTTGTACTATTCATGTACTGTTTTTTTTTTTTTAAATGAATGAATTGATATAATGTTGTTCCGATCGTGACCCGTGAATTATTTTAATCATTCGGGTCTTGTTATAACATGCCACGAGAGTTTGGATCTTGCAAATTTGTTCTTATATGGTTATCTTCTAGCCGTTTATAATGAAGTTTTGAAATTCGGCCTAATTATGAGGTTCAATTATGTAATCGCTCCTCATTTTCAAACCAACTTGTTTGCTACACAACGTAGAAGTGAGTAGCTCTAAGCATGCTCGTTTTTAGTCAATGCTCGAATAGAGAACATGATGATATGCTAGTATGTAGTAAAATATTCCTCCTAAGATAGCAATCTTATCAAATCGTGGCATTCTTTTGTAGTTATCGATACTACGAGATTCTCTTCGAGTATATTTAATTTGTTTTCATGTGGTCAAGTTGAAGTCACTTTGACTATAATTTTGTAAATTGTCTTATCTCTTGACAAGTTCGAGAAGAACAAAACATTTCTGAGAAGGTGGAAACCTCTCCCTAACAGACATGTTTTAAAACCTTGAAAAAACACAATATCTACTAGTGGTGAGCTTGGGCTATTACAAATGGTAACAGAACCAAACACCATGCGGTATGCCAACGAGGACGCTAGGCCCCAAGAGGGTGGATTGTGAGATCAAAGAGGGAAACGAAACATTCCTTATCAGGGTGTGGAAGCTTCTCTCTCTAGGAGACACGTTTTAAAACCTTAAGGGAAAGCCTAAAGAGGATAATTTATGTGATAGCGATGGGCTCAGACTCTTACAGATACTTTCATAGCAAACCGAACTGAACTGTCAAAACTTCTTTTTTCTTGTAGTCAACTACAAAGCATAATTCTATAAATACGACACTCACTCGAAATTTCAAACAGAATCATCATTGTTGAATCTCAAACATTCTAATCATATCTTTACTTACTTTTTGTAGCCAACACTACAGTAACGCGTTTAGAATTTTTCCAACAGAAAAAATAAATAAATAAATCTAAAGGTATTATTGATTTGCGTGCTTTCACAATCTATATATATGGGTGTGAGCGAGTTGAAATAAAGAATATGAAACCATCGAAAATTAAGACATTTTTTGGGACAGTGAGCAAAACCTAATCGAACGGGGTCATATCAGCACATAGTAAGATATTTTTATTACTTTTTTAATATATAATTAAGACAATACATTATTAACTTTTTAATTTTATATAATTTTTTAATTGCAATTTGGGAATCTAAATAGATTAAATAAAAAATAATAATCCTATTAATTATTGTGTAATATTCGTTTAACAGATTGTTTATCACTAATCCAAATCATTAAAAAAAATTAAAAAAAGTAATAAAAAAAGTAATTTATTATTTTTGTATATATAAAAAGAAAGATATTTGGAAGGTACACGGTGGCGGCCATCAGGATCAGATAATCTGAAACGTCGGCAACGTCACCGCCTAAATCACCCAAGATTCCTCTCCCATTATCCATTGATCCGTATCTGCACTAATCACTCACCGTTCAAACGACGACACGTGCCGCTTGATTAATGGATCCGACATTGTTTGACGGTCACAGGCAGTGAGGGAACGCGTGTACCAATAAGTCACCGCGCACGAGTGGCTTTGTTCTCCTTTGCTTTGGCTTTGCCCAATATTGAACGCCCCACTAACCACTCTCTTCATGACTTTTTTGACCATTTTTTTCTTATTTTCCGTAAAAATGTCAACTCATGTTGGCTTCTAAACAAATTTAAATTTATTTATTTTATTATATTTTGTCAGATCCCACGTCCGTTATAAGGTATTGCAATCTCTCTCTAATAGACGCGTTTTAACAGTCATATAGTATAGAATAAAGCTAACAACAATATCGGCTAGCAGTAAATTCTTTGACTTCTTCAAATTGTCTGAAATCATGTTTGAATATTTTCAATTTCGTATATAATAAAATATTTATTTAAGAATATAAAATTTTTTTAATTTTTTTTACATAATTATATATTTGATGCGAAGCTAAATTGGTTAATGATATCATATAGTTTTATATTTTCAAGAACTTCCGTTCTAGATGACAAATCATATCATATACTATATGATTGGGCGAAAATGTTATCTACAAAATAATGAAAGGGAAGTCAAGAAAGATCACCCAACTTTTTTGACCGTTACTTAATTATTGAGTTCATACATATAATTTTGATGAACTCGTCAAAATATATATATATATACATATATATATATATATATATAAGTTTAAAATTTTATTCTTACTAAAGTAGGATCCAAGAATATCTCTTGTGATAAAATTAGAAACTTTATAGTATTAATAATTATGAAAAGCTTCTAGATAATGACGTGACATATTCTACCATTATTTTAAAATTTGTAACCTTTCTATCGTCGTGAAAAGACTACTATAATAAAAAAAATGAATAAAAATATATATTTTTTCTTTTTGAAGAATTCAATCGTTACTTTTTTTTATATTATTATTGTTGGATAAAAGTCCCACATCGGCTAATTTAGAGAATGATCATAGGTTTATAAACAAAGAATACTCTCTCTGCTCGTATGAAGCCTTTTGGGGAAGTCCAAAGCAAAGTCATAAGAGCTTATACTCGTCGTAGTATAGTAATTTGAATATAAAATAAATTAAAAGAAGTAATTCATTTTTTAATTATTAATTGATTAATTGAGATTAGGTTAGAAAATGAATATATAATTATAAAATGCATGTAAGTTGTCGCTTATTTTTCAAACTGCTTACTCATTTGGATTATGCATAAAAAATGAAGACCAAGTCAAAGACAATTGGTCACACCAACATATTGACATAATATTTCCACCTCCCTCAGTTAGATGAACATTTTAGACAAAAACAACAGACGTAATGATGTGGGCGAAGGACGTTTAGGCTGGAACGGGATTGTAATCCTCATTCCATATCCCGTGTAGCTAATGAAGAAAAATTCTCTCTCTACTTTCTCTCTCATGGTCTTCGTAATAGTCGACTCTATGGGAATATCTCTACTCATTGAGGATTGTTGGGAGGGAGTCTGTCATTGACTAATTCAGGGAATGATCGTGGGTTTATACGTACGGAGTAGAGTTTATGCTCAAAGTGGACAATATCATACAATTGTGGAGAGTCAGGATTCCTAACATGGTATCAGAGCTATGCCCTTAACTTAGTCATGTCAATAGAATCCTGTGCCTCTAAGGTGTAGTCAAAAGTGACTCAATCTTGATCAAGGGAAGGTTGTTCGAGGGCTCCATAGGCCTCAAGGGGAGGCTTATGCTCAAAGTGGACAGCATCATACCATTGTGGAGAGTCAGGATTCCTAACATGGTATCAGAGCTATGCCCTTAACTTAGTCATGTCAATAGAATCCTGTGCCTCTAAGGTGTAGTCAAAAGTGACTCAATCTTGATCAAGGGAAGGTTGTTCCAATAGAATCCTGTGCCTCTAAGGTGTAGTCAAA